GGGGGGGGGGGCCGGTCCCCAGTACGAATGCACACGCGCGGATTGGAGCGCCTGGCTGCGCTTGGGCTGCAGCTGTCTGCACCGCGCATCTCTCTTTGGCAGTGCAGTGCAGTGCTTGGGCTGTGCGTGCCTCTCGTATTACAGCTCGAGGCCGCATTGTCTGTTTCATCTCTCGCTCTCTTTTTCTGCTGGTGACGAGTCGTAAAGTTGAGAGACCAGAGGCTGGTGAAGGCACGGCACAAACTGCGGCACGCGAGACACGCCCTCGCCTCCAAGCGAGACTCGAAATTGGGCGATCAAACCGGCTCTTTTCGTCGGTGGGTCTCTTTTCGGAATTGCAGTTGCAGCACGCGCCACGTCAGACCTTGCTTGCTGCCTTGCTTGCTGCCTTGCTAGCTGGCTGGCCTCCTTTTGCCCCCCTTCTCTCCTTGCACTTTTTTTTGGCCGCTCGGGACAATAGAACCCCCCGCTTTTCGGACGGCTTTGGCGCGCTTCCCACGACCCGTGCAATCAAGCTCTCGTCTAAAAGAATAGAAGGAAAAGTCGTTTTGGGGGCTGCAGCGCATTCCGACACTCTGGATGCGAGGTTGCGCGCGGCTGCTCGTGTCAACGCGCCATGCAGGCACCACACATCCCTCCCAAAATTGCTCGTCCGGCTAGGTTCTTGGTTCTCACCCGGCTCTGTTCGACAGATAGGGGCGGCATGCGTCCGACGGGGCGTCGTCACCAGCTTTGGCAGCCCCGTCGAAATGCCGCAGTCTCAGCCCGAGTCAGTTTGGTCTCAATCCACTCCACCGCCCCGCCCGCCCAGATTGAGCGGTGTTAGGCCCTTCGAGTGCTTCTCCCAAATCACGTGCACAGCGCCCATTTACGCGTCCGTCGCGTCTCCTCACTCCCAGCGCGCGACTCGAGCGACCCGGAGCCAAATTTGCTCAGCTCAGCCCAGCCCAGCCTCAGCTCCATGCGAGGGTCCAGCTCGGCTCCGCATACACCTTGCAAGATGCGTGGCTGAGTTTGACCAACGCCTCCACCACCTCCATACCTTCTCTCCAACACCACCACCATCACCGCCTCGACCACCGCCTCGAGGCCAGAACACTAGCCCTTCCATGAACTCGGCTGCCATCCACTCGGCCAAACTCATCGCCGAGTTTGAAAAGGAGCAGCAAGCATCGCTCCCACCCACCCCACGCTATCCGTCCGAGTTCCCCTTCGGTGCTCCGGCAGCCGGTCCATTTGGCGGGGCTAGTGCGGCTACTTCCGGGAGGAGCACCATGAACAACTTTGCAGACGCCCACGATGGCGACGCCGCCGACGTCAAGCCTGCCTCGGCTCCGGTCGACGATGGCGCGTCCACCTACCAGCCACGCAGGCTCACCGACTTCGACTACCCGGGCGGCTGGGGCGCACAGACGTTCAGCGGTGTCGGTGGGTTGACGCAGGACAGCGCCTCGCGCATCGCCACGCTCCAGGCCAAGCTCAACCAGCGTCTGGGGCCCGAGTACCTCTCGCAACGCCCTGGCCCGGGCGGAGTCAAGAGGCTCACCTACATCGAGGGCTGGAAGGTCATCGACCTGGCCAACGAGGTGTTTGGCTTCAACGGCTGGTCCACCACCATCCGCAAGCTCGAGATCGACTTTTTGGACTCGCCCGATGGCACGCGCTGGAGTGCAGGCGTCACCTGCATCCTGCGTGTCACGCTGCGCGATGGCGCGTTCCACGAAGACGTCGGATACGGCAGCGCAGACAATGCGCGCCAGAAACACGTAGCGATCGAGAAGTGCAAAAAGGAGGCGGTCACCGATGCGACCAAACGAGCACTCAAGAACTTTGGCAAGCTCCTGGGCAATTGCCTCTACGACCATCAGTACTCGACCCATGCGCTCAAGGTCACCAACCCACCGCCCAAGTTCGATCCGGCTGAGCTGCATCGTCGCCCGGAACTGAGGCCTCCGCCTCCGCCGCAGCCCCAGCCCCAGCCACCACAAACGCACGTGCAGGCCGCCCAGCCGCCGAGAAAGCTTGCGCCTGCTCCGGCACCTGCACCGGCACCAAGTACCAGCACCGAGCGCGCTGCATCCGCTACCAACGGCGCGGCCGAAACATGCCCAGCTGCCGCGGCGCCTGCACCTGTGCGGCCTGTCGTGGCTGTCGCAGCGGTGCCGCAGGAGGCCATGGAGGAGGCGTCGAAAGATGCGGTGTCGGAGCGTCAACAGCGGTCCATGCTCGCGCGCCAGGCGTACCTCGAGCGCCAACAGGCGGAAGCACGCAAGCAGGCCACCCGCTCGCCGCCGCGCGCCGAGGTCGCGCCGAGCTCCGACTCGTTCGACGACGGACTGCTGGACGAGCTCGCGTACGACGAATCGGCATTGGCAGATGCCGAAGCCGCATCGCACGCGCTCGAGATGCAGATCGACCAGCCGCGCCGAGTCGACGACTCGACGTATGGCGCCGATGATAGCGGCGTGGCATTCGCGCCCGAGCATGGACAGGCGATCAAGGCGGAAAAGACGCGCGAGGTGGAGATGCGCAGGTCGACGAGTCCGGTCAAACAGGTCAAGACGGAAGCGCTGCTGCCTCGGCGCGCGGGGAGCGTGGGGCGGTTCGTCTCGCCTCCCCCTGCGCCGGCGCCGGCGGTGGGGATGATGCGCAATGGTGCAACGAGCTTGTCTGCTGCATCCTCGGCGGGTCGTGTGGCGGCGGCAGGCGGACCAAGAAGGTTCGCAAGTGCATTGGGTGCGGGCGTGGGGGTGGAGGGCACAGTGTCGCGCGAGGCGGGAAGGGCGATTGGCGAGCCGGTGAACCACGCCTATGTGCCGCCCGAGGCGCGGGGCGTCAAGAGACCCGGCGAAGCTTCCGTCGAACGAAGTGCGCCACCTGCACCGCCGTCGCTCAACCTCGCGCGGCCGACGTAACTGCAATCTCACCAGTAAAGCACGATTCCTGCATTGTGAGGTTTGGTGTGATCATGCTGGGAAATGATGCTCCGATGTGTGTGAGGGTGGTTGGGTGCGGAAGCGTCGGACCGGTGGTGGATATCGGTGTGCAGATCGGGGGTTTCCGAGGGGAATGTTGGGTGTGTGAGCGGGAAGTTCTTGTCGATTTCAGCGCATCGGGGTGGTCCCAAGCGTGGGGAAAACCGGGGAGCGAATGAGAAGCTTGGATTTAATCTCTTCTTGTGGATTTGGGGTTTCGGCTATCCGCCGCGATCTCACGGCGGCGCGGCGGCGGCGGCGGCGGCGG